ATTGTTCATTACAATGATGTAACTAGCAAGTGCAAAAATGTGTCTGAAATTAAAACATTTGATAGACATTTCCTATTTTGTGTTTAAAATCACCAGTTCCAACTTTAACAAAGACGAAATTAACATAGCCACACCTCCATTAAACAAGCCTTCTGGGCGAATGAATTGGGCTTCAAATTTGCCTTGAATGCCACGGAAATACTAATAAGTCATGACTAGTTCTTGCTGCTTTTAGAAAATGTTGTGCCTTCAAATGTAAATAAAAGCATTGTGTATTTGTGTAACACATACAACGGCATTTTTGTTGAAACCGTTTTAGACTAGTTATCCCGAAATTGCAGATATCACGTCATAGGGATTATGCAATCGCAGATGCAAATCTACGTAGCGAGCGATGAACTTAATTTGTTCACACCACATGCCCATGCATCGCGTGTTATCTCGGTAGTATTGGCATCGTTACCTTCACCGGTAACGTGCACATGCACATGCAATGGCGTTTTGGAGGAACCCGTTTTGGACTTAGTCCAACGGGGATTCTCTGAACCAAAGGTACAAATTCAGTAAGTTGGTGTCATAAAGGTCATGGTATCATAGTGGTTGGCGCATCAGACTTATGATTGGTAGACCCAAGTTCAAGTCCTACCTTAGGCTCAAAAGGGTTGACCCCTACCTTGGGTGAGTGTGCCTTGGGTGAGGAAGGCAAATTCCACTGGCCGAGATTCATTCACTAACGAATGCGACTTTGGGGGAACCTTGTTTAAAGTCTGCAGGTGATTGTGTTCGACCGAGCCTGGTTGTCGCCAGGAGAGCGCAATAAATTTGAAAGGAAGATGGCCGCACAGCCCTGTCATGTAGTCCTAAACATGAATATGACTTCTGTGGCAAAAATGCACTATGTGTCAGCATTAGCACTTGCAATTTGCACATACAATCTCCGGAACTGTTGCCTGGCACCAAAAAAAATGTTGGTGTCATCCTCTTTAACCAGCTTTGATTAGTTTTATCGAAATGTTTTTTTTTTATTTTATCGTTTTACTATATTGTAACTACTATCAATGATTTTTCGAGATAATCTCTTTCCTTGTCCAAAGCTGATTTCATTTTGTCCGTGTTATATACATTTAGTCATTACTTCAGACTCAAAAGCCTAACTGCCACAAGCTGCCAGCAAAGTGGCATGTACACTTACAGGTGGGAGTATTATTACGCGGATTGATTGACTACAGGGGTAAAATCGCACATCATTTTCATCTTATTCAAAAAGTCGGGCATGGAAAGGCATAGTGTCGCATTGTTCTGCCTGCTCCATATCTTAACTATGTCACCTTATTCGAGCTTGTGGAGTTGGTCGCTACTCATGCCCAGATTATAATCAAAATTCAGTGTATATCATTGAAAAA